TCTAGACTTCAATGTCAGACATTATTTAGTTACTGACTGACTTCATTTTTTCGCAGCACAAAAGACACGGCCATTCTGTACAAGGGTCCGAAAATCAGACTCTAGTATTACTAAAATTATTGCAATCACCAAAGTCAATTCGACAATTAATGCTCGTTATTTTACCACTAAAGGACATTTTTCAATTTCTTTTGTTTTGAGGGAAGTTCTAAATTACTATTATCTTTCAAATGCCGTTGGAATTTAACCTTTTATTTTTTTGGCCTGCAAATGGGACATAGTGTACCGTTAGACTTCAGACGAGCTTAATGTACATCATAATATCTTGTGGCCTGTAAATGGGGATAATAATTGTGCCGAAATAGTCACCCACTTCACGAATAAAACTTGACCCTTAAAGTTATCATAAAAGATATGGCAAAAAATGTAGTAAGGCTGACCGTAGCCGAAGGGTTAGCCCCCAGAGCCTCCTAAACAGACTCCAAAGTCGGGTCAATGTCATTTCATCTACCTCAGGCAAAAAACGTTGGCAGTAGGAATTGGTTTCAGTAGACAATACACATAAAACATTAACAAAAAAACCCCAAAGAAAGAACCCCCACCCCAAACAAACAAACAACAAACAATAACAACAAAATAGAAAGAAATTTCTTTGGGTTAGGGTTGGAGTCAATTATCCCCAGAAAGCACATGGACTACATTTTGTCAGGAGAAGAGGTATGTACATAAAGTATAAAAAGTGACAAATTTCCATGTAAAACATCATTGACAAGTTCACCTGGATGGTTTAGACCTCGTGATGGATTATAGTACTGTGACACATCCAGAAATCAGTTACCTGTATTGTTGACGGGGTTATTTGACAGTGGACGGTTCAGTAGTGGAGGTATGTTTGTACCTGCTGGCTCCTAACACCTTCAAGTTCACTGTCTGACCTAATGGCATGGTCTCCCACAGATTCAATCAAGTTTCCCACTCTTGGAGGACATGAAGACGGGAAGTACCAATAAGATGGGTTGGATTACATTACAATATTTGATTGCTTATGTATGCTGACTCCCTCGACTACCTCAACAACATTCGATTGCTTATAATATTCTCTTTTGAGTCTTTTGAGCAGTTTAATAACAATATTGAACTAGTGAGTTGTTTTTAACGGTAAATAAGAAGACATACAGCCATAGGCTATTATACATAAAAAATTATATATAATGATGTTTTATAACATGATTTTACTAATGACCAGTCATAAGCATTTGATAATGACCGGTCATTATCAAAATTACGTGTTAGGTAAAATAAATGCCTGGTCATATATACGCTCTTAACCAATCATTTGATTGGAATCCACGTCATCATCTTATAAAACGTAATAATATTTGAATTTTGCTTTACAAGGACGTTGCCTTTGTGATCGGATTTTAGCCATGATATCGCGGGAAAAAATTTAACACTTAACCTTGAAATTATTTCGTCCACCCATTTGAGATGATGTTCACGCGTGCAATAACAATAGGATGAATTCTTTTGATTGTCCTTGATAACCAATATAATATCATGATCCCCCTCTCTCTATCCAAAAGAAACCGAAATGAAAGGAAAACACCTTAAGTGACGCACTTGATTGATTGGGTTCACACATCTTAGAGGCAAGTGAGAACGCCCCGCTGACTATTAACACATGATAGGTGTGAACACATCCATTGATCCCCGTGGACGTAGGTAGATGATGTGCGCACCTTGAATACCTCTGCACCTTAGTACCCGAATACAACTCGTTTTTAAAAAGAAATGGAGAAAGGATTAGCCTAGATGTGGACTTTAAAAGATGCGAGGTCTCGAATTGTCATTTGAATATTAGTATCGAATTTCAATCGGAGAAAGAAACTCAGTAATCAATCATGCGACTGGTACATTCCCCGGTTCATTCAATTTCGATATCATTGTTATTTATACATGACAATACGGGACCTCAATTAAGTATAATTTGAATGTTGAAGGTCTGTGTCTAATCCATTTTGAATTGCTTCCAAACTCCAGGCGTAGTCAGGTTGTAAGGCCATTATATGAATGATATATAAATAATGTAAACATAGAGCGAGACAAGATGAGAAATTTATACTGACATATAAAGATGTAAAGAGAAGTTGGGAGAAGTGAAAGAAAAAAAGGAGAAAGACAGAAAGACAGACAAACAGACAGAGAAAGAGAGAGAGAGAGAGAGAGAGAGAGAGAGAGACAGAAAGACAGACAAACAGACAGAGAAAGAGAGAGAGAGAGATAGAGAGAGAGAGAGAGAAGGAGATAGATAGGGGAGTTGCAGCCGTGTTTCCTGTTTTCATGTTCTGATATGTTATGATATTTTCATTCCATTAATTCTCATGGGTTCATGATTTATAGGAGTCCCACTTCAAGAAAATATTTTCTTGAAGTGGGACCCCTATTACTCTGCTTCATCAGCATCTGAAGGAAGTGTTGAGTCAGGATAATTTTATTTTCT